TTAGGATTATACTAGATGCTTGTTGCATGAAGATTCATGCAAGAATAGGCCTTCCTTCCCCTGGCTTTGCTCCTGGCTGCACGGGAGCCTGCAAATCTTTTCTTCTTGCTGGAGCGCCACTCTTGTAGCTCCCTCCACCCCCCACCCTTCCCCTCATAGCAGGCATCCTGCCCCACCCAGCTGTTCAGCGCCTGTGCATGCAAATTAACCTGCCATCTTTGTTGGGTTAATTTGCATACTCATTCCTTATTGGCTTATAGGTGTCATGGAGGTATGGACAATTTGCATATTTCTCTTATTAGTGTAGGTGATAACATTTTTCAGTGAGATACAACTTTCTATCTTCGGAGCATTGTGTTGAGTTTCCTAAGTCCCAGACCAAAGTAGGATGCAATTGCTTGACCCTTCTCCTCACATGAACTCAGATGACTTTTCTCTCTACATGTCAGCATGATTGAAATGTGGCGTCTACTCTGTTGTGTCTGCTTAATGTTTATGGAACTAGTCAGAGTGCTCTTGATTTAGATGGCTTTAGTCCAACAAACAATAATTACATTTCCAAGAATTTGGAAGCTATAAGATAAGATATATTTTTGGAATATACACTTATATATATGTTTGAATATTTATTTTTCTGAATAGTTTGTATTCATCTGTTCTTATTCCCTAGCTCCATTTTCATTCCCTGCTTTCTCCAACTATTTGATATATTGTGTAGGGTGTTGTTATAAACAAGCACATATATATCAGAAGATAAAACATTTTTAAATGCATCCAGTGAATAGGTATATCTGGTTATCCTTTAAGGTTATATAAGTTTGCTTGTGCATATTAATATTAATTACCTTTTGTTCATTATTAGTCACCATGCTAGAAACTTTATGCATTGTTTTGTTAAAATCCTATGTAGAAGATACATTTGTAGTAAAAGTTGCAAGTGGTATGGAAAGTAAAATGAAACTTCTCCACCTTTCCAATGGCCTAGTCCAACCTTCTGTCGCAAAATAATGGTAGCATTTTCTTCTTAAGTCCTTCTAGAAATTATCTGTGTATTCTGACCATGTATTTGTGTCTCCCTCACAATCTTAACAAACTGGATTCATACTATGTAGGCTGTCCTGCAACTTCATATTTACACATGAAGATCGGCTTTGGACTTCTTTCCACAGCAACAACCCTGAGCCAACACATTTTTGTTCTTGTTGAATGCACACCCAATGTATGGACATGACAGAGTTTCATTATCGTATTGATTTGGTTCGTTTCCTGTTTTCACTGGTACAAACAGTGGTGTGATCAACAACTTTATCCATAACATCATTTTTACACGTTGTTCAAATATGTCCAAAGGATAGTGCCTCGTAGAATTATCGGTCAAAGATGAGGGTATCTTAAATTTTGATTAATTGCTCTCTTACAGGGTTGAGCCAATTTGCATTTCAAACAAAGTTAACGCTAAGAACTAAGCAAGGCTTAGAGACCCTAAGAGGGTGAGTAACGTGACCCAGGTTCTCAACTTTCAAACGCAGACCCAGCCAGGCCATTTCTTCAAGATACAGATGTCTCGGCTGCCATCTTAAAACACAACTCTGGCTTTCAAAGCAGGGAGCAGCCTTCGGTATTTTTTTATATTCTCGCTCAAGGAAGCAATAATGATAATTCTCCCATTATAAAAACATTGCCCTTTATAGTTTTCAAAACATGTTTATAGTCTCATAATAATCCTATGAGATGGACATTGATTACTAGCCCGATTTATACATTTGGAGAACGGAGGCTCAAAGGCAAAACACTTAAATTTTAAAATATAATCAAAAGGTGGTTCTTGGCCAAAGGGCTTGTAAGCCCCACACCGTGGAAGCACCCAGAATATTAACATGCTAGTGGGAGAGGTGAAATGGGGAGATGAGATTCGTGGCTGTGACTGTATTGCTGTTGGCATATTAAATGCATGAACAGGAAAGTGCACTAAAGTCTCTGGCCATGGGCCCCATCACACCTCCAGGAGAGTCTTTTTCTGGCAGCCCTGTGTATTATGGCCCCGGGGGAAACGGGTGATTTCAACAGAGCTGCTTTTAAAATTATTCATTACATTTGATCCAAAACTGAGTTTAAATTCCCACCACGCGTACCATGATCATTGCATTTATAATCACAGAGCATTACATTTATAGTAGTTCCTTTTGTTGTGGTGTGGACTCGCCCTCTCTCTCATCCCCTTTCCTGTTCTATCCTAGGCTCAAATCAGATCTTGTTCTCATTTGTCTTGGTTCTAAAGAGAGAAGCTCTCTGTCTGATGGCCATGGGTCAGCTCTTGAGTTCAGATGGAAGCTTTGCTGTTCTCCTGGCCCCGAATCCTACACAAGTGCATCTATTGAACTTGATCCGTAGACATTTCTTAGGCTAATCTTTCTTCTGGTTTTGCTTTTTATTATTTTTTCCTTCTAATTTACAACTTATAAAGTCAATATGATTTTTCTCATTTTATGACTAAAGACACAATCATAGAAAGCTCATGTGACTGACTTCAACGACAAGCCAGAATTCAAATTATTCTTTACTATCCACCAGCTCCTAATTCATCGCAAGAAGTCTCCAAGTTACGAAACAGGTTTTGTTCCAAAAATTCATTTCTAAGTCAGTGATTTGGCATTTGAACTGCATTTTACCACATTGGGGGTGGGGGGAGGATATGTTATAAATGGTGATTAAGTCCGTTGGCTGGCCGGCAAAAAATCTGTTTAACTCTTCTGTAACTACAAAATGATCCATTTATAACTTTTAAAAAAAGAGGGAATGATAGTTGTTATTCTGGTTACAAAGGAAAAGAAAAACAATTATAAATATTTTTATTGATTTCAGAGATGAAGGGAGAGAGATAGAGGTGGGGATGGGGAGTAGAAATATCAGTGATGAAAGAGAAGCACTGATCGGCTGCCCTACACTGGGCATCGAGCCTCTAACCCAGACATTTGCTCTGACTGGGAATTGAACCGTGACCTCCTGGTTCATAGGTTGATGCTCAGCCACTGAGCCATGCCGGCTGGACGAGAAATTGCTTTTTCCTGAGAAATAGTAGATTCAGTTAGAAGATAGGGAAATATGGAGTTGACAGGAGCTCAGAGGGGATGGTAGGGCGCATGGGAGGCTGTTGGAGAAAGACTGATGGCCTCTGTGTTAAGCCCAGTTTCACTTGAAAACTCTGAGGATTTTATTGTTAGACTAGAGGCCTGGTGCACGGATTCTTGCACAGGCAGGGTCCCTCAGCCTGGCCTGCGTCCCCTGTCCTGTGGGGATCGGGCTGAAACCAGCAATCCAACATCCCCTGAGGGGTGTAGTAGTGTGCAAAACGGTAGGTGCTGGGGAGGAGCCTGAACTTGGGTTGGGCGCCATGCTACTCCTGCTCATCCCAGCCTTGCTGTGCCTGCTGCTGCCTCGGAGGCAGGAGAGGCTTACGCCACCACAGCTGCACTTGCCAGCCGTGAGCCTGGTGTCTGGCACCCAGCAGGCAGCTGAGCGGTGCACTCCCACTGTGGGCATGCACTGACTACTAGGGAGAAGCTCCTGGGTTGAGAATCTGCCCCCTGGTGGTCAGTGCACATCATACCAATCGGTCAAACGGTCAACTGGTCGAATGGTTGACCAGTTGCTTAAGGTTTTATATATATAGACACTTTCACCAGCACAACTCACACAACAGCTCTGATTAGAGTCAATAGATTGTGATCACTTCAGTAATAGATATTAACCACCCTGGGATGGTGGTTAATATCTCAGAAAAGCCTTCCGTCCTCCAGATGGAAAGGTGAAAGGCAGTCATTGAGTTTCCCATTCAGCCCAGTAGATCCCATCCACTGGGGTAGCTTGGCCGAGGTCTGGACTGGAGGCTCCGGAGCATGAGTCATGGGTGGAGGCGAGCAAAAGAATGCGCCTTCAGTATTTGTACAGTGAGAGTTTCCACTTCTGGGAAATGACCGCATTCATCTCACCCAGCTTCTTACATGATCTAGACTGCCTTTCACTTAAGCATACAAATAAACATCTTACACTTCAATTAACTTAACAAAAGAGTCAGTACCTTTTTCAATGGCCTTTATGTCCTGTTGTTTTCAGAGCATTTGCACACAACGTTTTCCTTTTGTTCACAACCAAAGGGAGGATTTGTTCTTTAGCAAACAGAAGCCTGAGTGAGCAGAGCTTGCTGAGCTGGCACATTGAGAAAGTGATGGAGGATCAGAGTGGGTGCCTCCTGGGTCAGTTAGGGCTCTGTGCTCCCTACCCACCTTCCTACTCCTTGGATAATAGAATACGTTTCACTACCATTACTTGGTGCTAAGTATGTTGTCTGAATGTTTTATAAAACATGAAACTCTAGTTTCTAGTACATATTTATACCCAGGAGTGACTCAGTGAAGGAGAGAGCAATAGTATTGACTGCAACAATGGAAAAGCCCTCTTAGGCGCCATTATAAAGGCGGTGGGATCGCAGACCCCTTTCAAGCGATGATAAGGCCTATGAGAGGCAATAGCTCCTTGATTTGATGTACGTTTTCATATTTATAAATGCTTTGCCTTTTTACTAAAACAGTTGATTACATTCCACCTCTTATCTGTGATACTTATATAATGAAATGTCTGTGTGTCTGTGTTTGAGGAGTTTTATCTAAAAGGTAAATAAATCGGTAATGCTAAATTTGTCTCCTAGCATAATGGGTATCATCTGGGCATGAGGGTGCAGGTGGGAACTCTGTGCATTGTTTCTGGCATGTTCTGGAGAGAGGGCGCTCCTGAATCTGTTTTGTCTGCCCAGGAGAGTGCTGTTCCAGAAAGGTTAGAGAGCCAAGCCATTCTCCTCCTGTTGGCTTTCATGTAAGGCTACATAGACCAGTCATAACGACAACCCTTGTTTCCAAAGAGCTGTCTTTAAGTATCTTTCCTGGCTTCCACAGATTCGCCTGCCTCCCAATAACTGGATGCTTTGATATCCTTGTCTTCCTCAGGGCCAAGAGATCGGAGCATGGCTATGAGCAATGGAAGTGGCGACGGCGTGGTTCTGAGCAATGGCAGCCTCGCCGCCAGCGCAGCCACCCCCAGCCCGCTGCCCACCTCGGACGGAGACCTCGCAGCCCAGCAGCTCACACCCAAAGAAGCGCCAAGAGCCAAAGTGAGTCCCAACGGATGCCTGCCAGCAAATGGCACCGCCAGGTCATCCTTCCTACCTGCAGACAACCAAAGAGCCGCCCCGCTGCTGCCGCAGTGCTGCCATCCTTGCCCGTACCATCACCCGCTGGCCAGTCACCCGGAGTGCCACCCCGAGGCCGGCCCGGCGTCCCCCTCCGCTTTGGCCTCGTGTTGCATGCAGCCCCACTCCGAGTACTCGGCGCCGCTGTGTCCACACCATGCCCCTGTGTACCAGACCGCGTGCTGCCTCCAGCCCTCTCCACCCTTCTGCCTGCACCACCCCTGGCCCGACCATTTTCAGCACCAGCCTGTGCCACAGCACTTAGCCAGCATCAGGTGAGTGGTCCCAACGTGTGGCGAGCCATTAGCATTCATAATATATATTCATAATGTATATTATATTGTGTGGTCAGGGCACATACAACAACAAGTGAGTGCATAAATAAGTGGAACAACAAGCCTCTCTCTCTCTCTTTCTCTCTCTTTCTCTCTCTCTCTCAAAACCAATTAATTAAAAAGATTTACAGAGCAATGTGAGCCCACTGCAGCATGGCTCAGCTTGGCTGGGCCAGGAGTCAGGGCACGTGATTGGAGAGGAGAGGGACCCTGGGGACCAAGTCCTACGAGCGCTGTCCGTCACATTCAGGAGATCACTAGCCTTGATCCTGTGCCAGTGGGAGGCATTGTGTGCGCGCATGTTTTTTGTTTGTTATTTTTTTTTATTGTGGACAAATATATACATAACGAGAGTGATCATTTTTAAGTGTACGGTTCAGTAGCATTAAGTACATCCAGATGGCCATGTTGTCATCACCACTGTCCATCTCCAGAACATTCTTCGTCTTCCCAAACTGCAAGTCTATAACCATCAAATCCAGTCGCTCCCCGTTAGCCTCACCCGCAGCTCCTGCCAACCACCGTTCTCCCATCTGTCACCAGGAGAATCTGGCTACTCCAGGGACCTCATAGAATTGGAATCATAGAGCACTCGTGTCCTTTTGTGAATGGCTGATTCCACTTAGCAAGGTTCATTCAAGGTTCATCCCAGCCTCAGAGCAGTATGTCAGAGTCCCTCCCCTCTGAGGCCGGACAACACCCCGCTGTGGGCATGGCCGGAGCGCGGTGCCTCTGGCCAGTCAGCTGTGAGCGGGCAGTTGGGTTGCCTCGCCTTTGGCTGTGGTGACTTACGCAGCTGTGAACGGGGGTAAACAATAGCTGTTCGCGTTCCTGCTTTCACTGCTTTCGGGTCTACACCCAGAAGTACAGTGACCGGACCATGACCGGATCATGTGGTCATTCTGTCTCACTTTTTGGGGAGCCAGCAAACCGTCTCCACAGCTGCTGTGGCACTTTCCATGCCCACCAGCAGTGCGTATCCTCGCTCACACTTGTTCTTTGTGTGTGTGTGTGTGTGTGTGTGTGTGTGTGTGTGTGTGTGTTAAAAATGACAGCCATCTTAATGTCTGTGACATCACAGATGTTTAAGCAAAAAGAAATCCCGTCAGATGTGCATGTTAGAGAGGCCCATGGTCTCTGCCTGGTAGAGAGCAGGCTGACGGGGCCAGGACCATTGGAAAGAGAAGGACCAGGGAAGGCTGGTGCAGTGATTCAGGTGAGAGATGATGGTGACTGGAACCAGGGTTTAGAAATAATTTCATGCTGGAGAGAGTTACAGGTCATGAGAGTGCCTGGAGAATTACAACATAACATACGAATAACAGGAAGGTTTTTTTGCACCAGAAACAGAGACCCCTATGAGTTCAGAGATGGGAAGGATCCCTGAGAATGAGGTCAGGAACAGTCTGATTGAAAAGAGAGAATTGAGTGACCAGGACTGGAAAGGACTGGAGGAGGCAGAGCATGGGATTGGGGGAGAAATAAGCAAGAATAAAGGCATGCCGAAGCAAAGGAAGGAGAATGGATGGCGGGCGAAGGGTCACCTGGCTGGTCACGAGCGACGGGTTGAACAGTCGGGTTGTCTCCGAGCCTCCGGGCTCCGGGCCTGTGCTTTGTCCTGCCGAGATCTGGAAAATGTCTCGCAGGAGCCCGTCACGTTCCATGTGTGCCGGCTGAAGCCAAGTATTCATCGGGGATCTTCTTATTGCCATATTAAATGGAAGGGGCAGTGGTTTTATGACAATTACCGAGGAGTTCTGCATCCAAAAATAGCATACAAAATTTCTAATCCAAACGGCACTTACCTTTTAATTTGGTGTCGCGGAGAAATGAGCTCAGTGGTACCAGAGGACTTTGTAAAGGATACTTGGCAATGCCACAGACGCGCGGCCGTGGCAGGCAACCTGTGATGGTTTTGGGCACCCGCCAGCTGCGTTTTTATTTCCCTGAAGGTGATTTCGCAGACAGATGGTCAGTTTGAGTGTTCCCCGCGGCATCCTGGAGGAATTACAGCCATGGCGAGCTAAGAAGGCTTGGCACCGAGGGGCCCAGCGCCCCCAGCATTAGCTCAGCCCCTTTAAAGGTTAAACAAACATTGTCCCCACCCTCCCCTCCCCCCCCCCATATATTGTGACTGTAATTTTCTGTAACCTCTATTTCCTTTCTCCTTGGGCTCTTTATTAATTTTCCAATTTCTGACTCTTTCCAGAGGTTTTCTTTTTGTTTTCCCTTAGGACACGAGTTACTCTCTGTGACGGGGACTCTTTAGAAGTAAGGATTCTTGTCTTATGTCAAAAGAGATGGGAACACCCGCTGGGAGCCTTGTTCTTTTGTGTATGTTGTATCGTCATGTCCAGGGATAGTTAACAGCGTTGAGCAACATTTTCCTAAGTGTCTTCCTTCTACCCCTGGCCTCAGCGAGCCACTGTTTCCCGTTCTGAGCCCTGGTGACTGTGTGATTGCAGTTGGCTAGGGCATTTGAACCCAGAGTTACTGTGAACACTTCATCAGCAGTGTAGCATGAACCTGGACATGGACACAGACCCCAGAGTCTCCCAATTTGCCCACCTCACCAGACTCAGTGCAGTGGCTTTTCTAAGATGTTGGAGCCCTGAGTGGAGAGATTCAAGTTAGCTACTCACTCATTTAGCAAGTATTTAATGAGCACTTGCTAAGTGGGAAGCGCCGGGGACAGGTTAAAAACTGCAGTCCCTGGTCCCCATCTTCACAGTCGGGGCAGTCACGTGGACAGGCTGAGCCACCCGGATGGGGCGTGAGCCGTCCACGGGGGCTGCCTTCCTTGATCAGCAAATATTGACGGAGTAGCTGCTTTGTTCGCAAGGGCAGTGGAGGTAAATATCAGTGCTTTGTCAGGGGCCTCGCCGGTTCTTCTATTAATACACATAGAGTTTTATAAGTTTATTTCCCCCTCTTTCTCTCTCTGCACTGGAAGGTTACTAATAGCTAAAAAACCATTGGTCTTTGTTTATTGATATTCGCTGTAACCTCAGGACCATGGCAGGTGCGTTGGAACCCTGCTTCTGCCATTTGCTAGCTTTGTGGCCTTGGGTAGGTAGTATTTCGGCTCTCAGCGTTAGCGTCTCTCTCTCTAAAGACGGATAACTGGAGCCATTTTGCACAGAGCACCGTGCCTACAACCAAACAGTCATTCCTTTCTCCTCTCTGTTCCTTTCATTGGCTTCTCTTTTTCGTTGGTGGTGTTTTTGACTGCCTGTGCTAATTCTGTTAACCTTGTTTTGGAAACCAAGCCATTCCCAAATCCCGATGTAGCTAATTGTGGCTTTTCATGCTCATTTATCAATTTATTTATCAATCACACAGTCCTCCCCATCAGCCTCCAGGAAAAGGTCGCAGATCTGGCTCCAGAGAGGGAAAGGGGGCTATTGGGGATCCGTGGGCCTCTCCAGCCCCGACTCAGGGCCCCAATACCTTTTACTAATTATATAATCTGATTAGATGGTTAATTTTAGAGGTCTGGTCAGATTAAATCTTGATTTCACTGCGACCAGGGTTTATTTTTACTTTCCTTAAAGTAGTCCAAATTAACTTTTTAAAACAGGATAATGTTTGTAAAATTTTAAATGTTCCAAGCTCACTTGCCAAACAAAGTAAGTGAGTTTGGCAGGCGGATCGAGCGAAGGCCTGTTTTATTAGCAGCACTTCTTTCGGAGACTTTTTATGTTCTAAACGAGCAGATTTGAGAGTGTGCCGTGCCCCGTGGAATGCTTTGCACAGCCTGCAGTGCATTTCAGACTATGAGCTTCGGTCATCTTGTATTTTCACCATCCATATCAAGAAACAATGCGCTTCTTATTTTATAAAATTAATTGATGTAACATTTTGCCGTGAAGTTATATGTTCTTTACCCCCTTTCCATATTATTGCTCAGCAGGTACTTAGAGGAAAGAACAAAAAAGAAATGATTCAAATGTTCCTTTTTTCGTTGTGGTTAAAACTGAAGTTCCAAAAATGTAAACTATTTGGCAAACATACACGTCATTGTTATGGATCAGCTGCAGCTCTGATTCCAGGAAAAAGGCAATTATCTGTGGCATCTTCTTCTCAAACTTAGGTGGATTGTTAAGTGTAATTTAAAAGAATTTATAGAACTTAATATTTATAGAATTTTGATTGCTGTACTATTCTGTGTTCTTTTCATCAAAATTGACTCTACAAAATTGTATATTTTAAAAAATATATTTTTATTGATTTTAGAGAGGAAGGAGAAGGAGAGAGAGAGAGAGAAACATCAATGATGAGAGAGAATCATCAATGGCTGCCTCCTGACTGGCCCCCACTGAGATGGAGCTTGCAACTGAGGCATGTGCCATGACCGGGAATCTGCCTGTGACCTCGGGTTCATAGGTCCTCGTTCAACCACTGAGCCATGTTGGCCAGGCTCTTTTTTTAAATATACAAACCAGATAACCAACCGCTCGGTGTTTGGGAGTTTGAAATACAGCCGATTGCCTGGGGCATATCTGGAACCAAATATTTGTTGAATGAGTGATTACACACACACACACACACACACACACACATCTCAGGGGGGGAAAAAAATTTTAATTTATGAAGCTTAAATGTGTGTTTTTTTTAAAAACCTCACAAAGTTAGATTAGTCACTGCCATCGGGCAGCTTCTATTATAGTCTAGTAGGAAAGAGATGATCAAGGCAAAAATAACCACACTCTCTGAGGACCAAAATCAAAGTGCAGAGGGCTCGGGGGGTCCCCAAAAAGGAAAAGGGGGCACAGGAGCACTTAGAGGTAGCATCAGGGAAGTTGGGGAGCCAGCTGCCCAAACTAAGGGAACAGGAAGCTGGAGGACAGGAGAGGGGGAGCAAGTGGAGGCAGCCTGGCAAGCGGTCTCTGTGCTGGAGGAGGGACCAGCGGAGGCCTCACGGGGCACTGTGCCCCTTG